AAACATGTATCTCTGCTGGTGGACATTCTGTCTCAGGGGATACTTGTCGTTCGGTAACTATTCATTCGTGAGTACTCAAAATAACGAAATGATACTCAGGCAGACGCGTCGTCCAGCATAAAAAGGCGTCACTCCTTTTAGTCTATAAGGGACACAGATTCAAGGAGTTAATTTGGTGTCCCTCGGATGATCCTCAGGGATTTTAATCATGTGACATATGTACAGTCTTCAGATTCCCAGGTTTGGTATAAAAGAATATAAGGTTTCTATTAGAGATATATTTGAAGATTCCTTTTCGGAACCCATTTGTTTTATTTCAAAATGTTCTGCGAAAAACTGTAAACCTGTGACATTTTGATTACTAGCCCTTCTTTCATCAGTTATCTTACTAGACAGAGCTCTTATACCAAAACTTGGGGAAATCTGAACTACAAATCTTATACGGAATAGAATGTATTCTTTGTGGAGGTCACAAAGATTGGAGTTCATAGATTTCAAATAAATAATGGAAGCCAACAGCTTTTATACAAGTATTTCAATTTACCTGATCATTTTATTTTGTCAATGAAAGTTAGAATTCTAGAAATGATTTACCACCATACCGATAGTCCTCCAACGAGTACACATTTCCGTAGACAACGAAAAGAATTTTGGATTAGAAAACTTGGGACAGCCTTTCCCTATGGATGTAATGACAATGTTGATAGTGTTGGAAATCTTTCCAGTCCACAGTGTGACAATGTAAATGTGATGGGTTTTTTTAAGCATACACAGAGACGTAAGCGTAGTTATGGACATCGGTCTTACAATAAACCATTACTACACGATGTCTCTTTTGATTCATTACTACATGTACCTTATGTAAATCAACAGTTAGATCTACATCATATTCGCACCAAACTTTACTCTGTCCCTTTGAAACTTTTAAATAGTCTACTTGAAGAGGTCAATTTTTAATTGCTCGACAACAGAATATAGGTTCGGATCTGTGACTAATTTATGGATATTAGATAGATTACATGATCAGTACATACTGGTCCCTGTGACAAAGCGGGTAACATTGTCTTCGTTTGTAAGACTCATTATATACTAGTAAATTGTATTTTAGAAGAACTTGGATTAAATTTTAATTCTACAAGTGATAATCCAACATATACTCATAGTTGCCTTTATAAGGAACAAATTCTTCAAAAACATATGTCAGTTTTGAATATTTTAATATCCCAAATAACCAAAATGATTTTGAATTACCATATCTAGTTTTGGATTCTGGAACTTCGTAAAAAAAACTTATAAAGAATTAAAGATACATTAGGGAGTTTCAGTAAATGTTCAACCAAACCTCTTTCTTTACTACTCACTAAGATATTAACAGTAGTGATTAGTGAAGGAAAAAGAGAGTACTGTGCAACAATATATTCGAGGTGTGATGTATATATGGATACTTAAGGAGGAACAGGACGTTTACCTGAAAAAAATCCTGTCAATGAATTTTTTTCGTATTTTTTATATTACTAATTTAATATGTACTTAACATTTTAAAACGGTCCTGTCATGGGATTTCTTGACTTATTTAAAAGATATCGTCCCACAAATACCACCCTATTTAGAGTTTATATGGAGTTTAGATACTTCATGTTTACGGGCCCATAACAGAGTCCATAATGCGATTTTTTACGCCCAAACGATAAATATGATAGATAACACTATATACTCAAATATTTCAGAATATTCATAGTGTTTAAATTATCGGAAAGCAATTGTTTTAATTCTATATAGTATTTGGGTGGGATAATTTTTGCATTTTTGAAGGCAGCTTCAACGACAAAAACCTCATTTTGAAAAAAATTCTGTCAATAAATATTTCTAAATTTACGATTTAATGTCAGTCCTTCATCGTAATTATTTACTGCATAAATATCACAGGGTGAAGCTTACCTCAATATCGCACAGGACATCGTTGAATTAGACATAAGCATGAAAAAAACGCTTCACGTTTGTATTTTCCGAGTGCGGGAAATTAACTGTGACTTCACACGAAAACATAAACATTCAAAATTATCTAAATAGAGAGAATATCTGTTACTAAACACGAAAAAAATATTAATTTAAAAAAATCTGCTTCAGAATTTATCACGATACATTGATTGTGACCTGTTTATTATGAAATAAAACTGATCATGACGGGTGTGTGTACATGTACTTGATCTAGCTGCACTGAGAATTCAAACACTACGTCTATGACGTCACTGACGTCAGACTGCAGGGGTGCATTCGATTAAGCGACCCGAGTTACACGGGTTTTACTCCTGACAAATCGAATGCCGAGAGTTGGCGTAACGTGTCAAACACGACCAACGCGAGTATACTCTCCAATTTAGCAGGAGTACAAGAGTCGAAAGATGGCGGTCAAAGCGAACGAGCAGTAAGTCAGCATGTTGAAAATTAACTATTTTGAGCATAATATGACTTTTACATAAAAGTTTGTTAGCGAATTGAGAAAATATTTATATTCTATACCAAATGATAGTAGTTTACACTTTGAGTTGCGGTGACAAATGAAATAAATGAATAAATGTAAGTCGCGTTGTTATATCCCGATAATCTGATAATGTAATTTTTTATTTATTTGCATAGCCGTCGGAAGTAAAAAAAAAAAAGGGGGGGCTAAGTGTAAGAAAAATTTTTTTTAGACCTCAAAAAAACCTGGCAAGCAAAAAAAACTTCAGCTAAAACGAACTTCAGTACCAAAACTTTTTTCCCTATTCTGCAACGTGTCTGTGGAAAGTGAGGGGGGGGGGGGGGGGGGGGGGGCTAAACCTATACGCAGCAATGTTCAATGTTTATAGTAAGTCTATCTTTGGGAAAAAGTGGGGGCTAACCCCACCCTACCCTGGCCACCCGGTTCCGGCGCCTACGATTTGTTGTTTATTATAAATATATATTTATATTTTATGAAGCCAAATCCATTTTATTCATAACGCGTATTAATCCCGTAAATTTTAAGTGGTTTTCAACATTCCATTTAAATCAACATTATCTTTTTTTTTTAGGTTTTTGATATCAATGAAAATTGATGGGAAAGATGTTCAGATCCTAGGAGACTGCCATCTTGTAGAATCACTTAACTCAGACGGTAAGTATATTTATTTTGTTTATTGTATGTCCTATTTTGTAAGTTTAGTAGGTATTACTCAGCATTTAGAGCAATGATTAAATATTTGTTTTAATATTAACAGACCAAAGAAAAAGAGACATGGCACTACAACTCATACGAGCAACTTGTAATATGGGTAAGCAGTTATATATCCATAAGCATTTTTTTCTGTGTGTCAGTGTTTGGTATTGGTGATGCACTACAAATGTATTTTCCAGGAACACCTATTACATTATGTATAAGTATTTAAAATATCTTTGATTAAACAATTAAAATATGCTGCATAGTGAGAAAACCTTTTTCCATTACTTTTAATTTCTAAAATGGTTAGGCAGAAAATCTACGAAACAGGTCATAATTTTGAATCCAGCATTGTTTTACATTTTATATATTAAAAGTCAGAAAACTGTAAAATTGCAGATTATGCTCCAATGATATAAAATTAATATTTGAAACTGTTATTTAATCATAAATATATAAACACCTGCATATACATACTTCAACAGCATATCAAATACTCTCAAGTTTAATGTACTTGCTTATTTTTCAGATGACTGCGTAGAATCTTCTGATGCAAAATCATGCAGTGCAGTGCCGTGCAGTGCAGATGCAGAATCTGAGTCACTGGACCAAAAAATGTGGAATAAACAAGACACTAAAACATTATTTGATATAAGAAGTAGAATGGAGAAAGACTTTAACAGCAACAAAGTGCACAAGAGTCTTTGGGAAACCATTGCCAAGGAATTATCTGCTGTTGGTGTTACAGCATCAGCAACACAGTGCATGAATAAGTGGAAGGCGCTTAAAAGGGAATACAAGAAAACGGTGGACAATAATGCACAGACAGGATCAGAGAAAAAAACATGCCATTTTTTTGAACAATTTTCTGAACTCTATGGAAACAAAAGTGGTACGAGACCAGCATTTACACTGTCTTCAAGAGTGCGACAAAACAACAAGACAGAAAATAACAAAGATAATGATGAAGATGTTGAAGCAGAGGACTCCAGAGATTCTAATTCATCAGATAGCAGCACTCCACAACCGAAGAAATCCCTCAAACGTAGGAATACGAATCAGTCTGCATTACTTGCTTTGGAAGAGTACACAAAAAGACAAGAGGAATACAGGAAAGAAAGGTTGGAGGTTTCAAAAAAACAACACGAGGAAAAAATGAATCTTATGGGAAAGTTAATCGATTGTCTACAACCAAAAATTCCTAAAAATGATCAGTAAAATTAATAGTGAAGAATTTGTAAACAATTACTATCTTTGTGTCTTTGTAGATTATTTGAAAGATTTGGATACAACTTAGTTGAATTTTATGAGTTTACCAAGAACATTGAGGATTGCTACAAGGACTTGCATATGTTTATTTTTCAATCACCAAAAGCAACAGAGTGCTTTGATTCACCTTTTTCATATTGTTCATATTGCTCTGCTTCGCCTGAATCTCAGTTCTCTTGTGAAATGTCTACAAAGTGTTTTACGCCAGACACTTTGCTTAAAGAGACATGTTTCAATGTAGAATCAGACTCTAGCAATATACAAATAGGGAACAATGTATTTGTCCCCACATTAGAATTCCATCACATGGTTAACACTTCATTAGAGAAATGGATTGACAATATTTAATGCTTTAATTTTTTCCTTTTTTTAAAGATTAATTTACATTTGTGATATGCCAAATAGGCCCTGTCAATTTTTTTTAAAAGTTGTTTATTGAAAACAATACATGGTTATAAAGTTTAACTTCTAATTTTATTAAACTTTTAAGATTAATTTACATTTGTGATATGCCAAATAGGCCCTGTCAATTTTTTTTAAAAGTTGTTTATTGAAAACAATACATGGTTATAAAGTTTAACTTCTAATTTTATTAAACTTTCATTTTCAAATACAATCTTGTCTCTAATCATTGTCTTTTCTCTTATGCACAATATTTAGATTTTACAATGTTTGTAGATACTGAACTATCTGATTGCGAAAGTTTATACCAAGGGGTGCATTTCCATATAATGGTCCATAGTTGTTGACATTATTGTTTGGAGGGAGGTCATCCAGCATGTCATTAACAGAGTCATTTGATAGAATGCAAATGTTGTGAAGAACACAGCATGCAGTTATTACTTTGCAAGCACGTTCTATATCCAAGCAGGGTAGGCTTGTGAGCCTTCTGAATCTACACTTTAGTAGGCCAATGGCTCTTTCAACATTCTGACGTGATGTTGATAACTTTCTATTATAATGTCTCTGGGGGGCAGTTAACCTTCCATTATCACGGAAAGGGGTCATCAGGTAAGGCTTCAGTGGGTAGGCAGAATCTCCTGTAATGTTTTGAAAAACTAAACTAAGTTTCTTGTAAATGTATACATTAAAATTTATTAAAATAGGAAAACCATGCATATTAACCTACTTATACAGTTACTAATTTTCTTTGTTAACCCCAATAAGTTTGACAAAAAGAACAAAGATCTAGAGGTATCCTTGTTGAAATCTTAATTAATGTGCTTTAATTTTGAAACATTTTACTCAGTTAAAATTTTCTTACCAATTATGAAAAAGTGTGGATTTAAAATTCCATTTTCCAACTCATTAAAGATATCCGAGTTTCTGAAAACTCGGGCATCGTGGGTACACCCTGGCCATCCAACAAAGCTATCTGTAATAAGTAACATATGGTCTACAATAACTTGCAACTGGAGTGAGGGATACCCTTTCCTGTTGATGTAGTCTTGATCTCCATTGGGAATGTTTGTAAGAGTAATGTGACTGCCATCAATTATCCCTATGATTCCTGGTATTTTACATTCGGCCTCAAAGTGATCAGAAATTTCTTGCTGACGCTGGGGACCTGGCCAAGATATAACTCGATCCCGAACTGAGCATAATGCATCACAAAAGTCATGAACACAGTCAAAAACTGTGGACTGTGAAATTCCAAACAGTAAAGAAATTTCTCTCATGGAAGTTGTATTACATAAATACCACAGGCCTACCATGGCACGTTTCTCCGTCAATATCGGCTGTTTGCCCTGTGTCCGAATATCCTTGGCTAGATTTGGTTCTATCTCTTGGAATAAGCGTGTGAACGTTTGCCTTGTTAGTCTAAAATGTTTACTAAAGTCAAGAGAAGAGAAATCTGGCAACACTTCTTCGTAAAATATTCTTACAGATGGGACACGCTCTCTTCTGATAAAGTTAACAAAAAAATATGGGACAATATCATCGTCATCATCGTCTATGTCCTCTTCCTCAAGAAAGTAATCGACCGCAAACACTAATCCGACGTTATCAGCCATATTTGTTTACATTGGAGCTCGACTCGAGGCATTCGATTACATACTCTATTGCGCATGCTCAACAATGACACTAGTTCTTATAATCGAATGCACCCCAGGGTAAAGAGAAACAAATGTGTGGATTTGGCAACTTCACAATATCTAAATGATGGCAAGATCTTTAAAAATTTTATGAATAATAATTTCTAAAATTAAATGTTTAAAAAACAATTTTAGAATTTAGAATAAAATTACACAATAACAACGTTTAACATGTATATCATAACCGATTATGACGTAATATGTCTTTTTAGTCATGTGACATGTTCCCTGTCTCCCCTTAAAAATTCCAAGGAACTTTTGGAAAATTTGAAATCACAAGATTTTACCAAACTTAACAGCTTAAAAAGATTCGACTTTTCAACTTAATACACAACCATTCCCCACGATAAATTCAAATCCAGGCTTTTTGATATCATTGACAGCTGCTTTTTCAATAAAAATGGAAAAAGTTTACTTACCTTGTCATTGGCCATTTGCAAAATTAATTTGTTAAAACCATTCTCTTAGTACACACAACTACTCTGAAGTTGACATAAAAAAGATGCTTCAGTTTCTGATTGACAATATCTATGTGGTGTTTGGAGATCAGGTCTTTCGACAATCTATTTGGAATTCCCATGGGTACCAATTGTGCTCCCTTATAAGCAGATCTATTTTTGTATTCATTTGAAGCAAAGTTTGTCCAAAATTTAATACGTGCAAAGAAGAAAATACTTTGGCCTTCAACTCGACATTTAAAATATATCGACGACGATATTCAATTAACAATGGTTAATTTCATTAATTCTTATGTCGCTACGGTAGATCCCAGTGAGCTTCAGATAAAAGATACCACAGAGTCTGACACATCTGTTTCAGATCAGGATATTTTACTTTAAAAAGAAGTTAATGATAAAGTAACCAAGCTGTATGATAAGCATGATGACTTTAACTTTTCGATCGTCAATTTCCCTTTCTAATGCAGCAATATACCTTCATCACCTGCATATGCAATTTATTATTGTCAAATGCTGACTGATGTTTTCCATACCAATTGTTAGTCCATTATTTACTGTATTGTTTATTGGACTTTTGAGCTTAAATATTGTTCGTCATCTCCATAAATTTCATTTACACATTGAATTGACGACGTATTTTTTCGTTATTTCCCGATTATGACAAGGAGCACACGGCGGGTGTGGCCGGCTAGCAGGGGATGCTCACTCCTCCATAGCACCTGATCCCACCTCTGATGTTTTGTTCTGTATTTTGTTTTGTTTTATTGACTATTGAGCTCGAATACTGTTCGTTATCTGCATATATATTTCATAATTAAAACACGATTTTTGAAGTAGGTGTCTAAAATAGATTGACATCTTTGTGAAAAAGAGAGGATATGGATGTGTGTTCTCAACAAGAAACAAGTGGAAAGAGAACGGAAGGGGTGCTCCGTATAAGAAACATTTGCCTGTGATTTTTAACTGGGTTTTCCATGTTTGAAATGTTGAACATGGCTGTCGGGCGGATGGCTGTCAAATCGTTCAATCATTTGTCCGGATAATTTCTTCAACAGTTTCGAGATTGGGAACTTTTTATTTGGATTGATTGTTTAACTTTCCTCTCGAGAATTTTTCAATCATATTGAGATGTCTCCACTTGCCGGTGGAAAGCTGCAAATTTCGTCCAATGCTCGGCATTAAGGGCCATTGAGAAGTGAGGGATCATTTTCGTCCCAGCACCTAGTCAGGACCTCAGTTTATACGGTCTCATCCGAAGTACCCGCCGCGGGTCCCCACGTTCCACAGTGGGATTCGAACTCGCGATTTAAGGGTCAACTCCTTACTTCACGACTCTAGAGCATATGCTCTAACCACTGCTCCATGCGGGCTTTTATTTGGAAGATCAAGTTGATATGAGATGTGCATAGTAAATGGCTTTTAAATTTTGATAATTTCTGCGAAAAATTACCATCTGTTGACCGAGTCCTTTTGTGCTAAATATTGCAGCTTCAAGATAGAAAATTCTTATCTAACATCAACATAATGTTAAGATTGTGCATAGGATTTTATTATACAATCTATGAAAAAAATCTGCTGTAGAACTTATGTCATTTTTATGCAATATTTTACAGTCGACCATATTCGTTTCTTTTTCATTTTCCAAAATGTCTCGTTTCTCAGTAGTGTCCATAAATTCGGATATATCTTGTGCAGGGTGATATTGAAACACGTGCCTTAAATTATCGTTGTTGGAGATGAATTCTCCTCTTTATTTCATGCTTTCTTTATACCAACTGCAAAGTGAATGTTGTATACTTTTTAATATATATCTTTCACAGTGCTCAATCTAGCAAATATGATAAAAAGTAATATTTGCAACTTCATACTTGATAAATTTTACATAAAATCTCTGTGACTGTATCTGTATACTTAAGTACATATATTACTTGCGTCACATGTGGTTTCAAGAAATGCTCTCGGCGAGAGAGGCAAGTCCGATGAAAAGCAAATAAGTTAGTCAGGAGTCCGAAGGCAACGTGTTGACTAGTGACTTGCGACACCGTGTCGGTGTATCAATATAAGGACAAAGGAGAGACAACTCTAAAAGGCTTAAATCTTTTTATTTCATTTGTCAGCACAATAATAATACATATAGAAAACATTCACTGAATACAATTGATAAAGCAATATCGAGTTCCCAGTCAGTACGAGCTGTTAATAAAGTTGAAAATCATTCAAATACAATGTTTGGAAATTGCAAAGAAGGACAGGTCCTGTAGGAAGCAATGGGGAGGGGGGCACAACCATAAATTTCATTTTCAGTTTGGGGCACCATCAAATACCAAATATTCCTTTTTTAGCTTTTTTTTCAAAAAGTCAGCAGCCATTATTATTGAGCGGGTACAAGCATATAGTAGCTATGTTTTCTATAGTATTCTATATCGACAAAATAATAAATTATGGGGGCACCCCCCCCCCCCTTCAACCATGAATAAGAAAATTCACATATCAAAAATAGGAATGCGTCTAGAAAATCATCAGTATACACGAGGCATGACATTCAAACATTTTTTTCTTGAGTTGAAACAATGCAAATGCTGTATTTAGATATTGCAAAGCACTTTGACAGGGAAAAAAAAAAAGAAAACACATCAAGAGAACACAAAGTACATTGTATATATTTATAAACTATCTCATGAAGAGAGGTTATGGGAACTAAAATATTTTAACTGGGTGCATTCTTCTAATCATTGTACAACAATCTAGTTAACATAAAAGTGTGTATGCTAAAAAAGGCCAACTTAATGCACCAAGTAGACATATGAAAAGTCTATTTTTAACTAAATGACTTCCAAAACTTAAATTGTCTACCCCTATAAGTTAGTCTATATTAAGTCTTAAGACTAAATAATTAATTCATAAACTGTGTAATCTAAGTAGTTATTAAAGTCACTTTGACCTAGAATTTTGAGAATTGTTTTCAAAACCATTAAATTTCTCTGGCCAATCAGCAAATTTTTTGAAGCAAGCTGTATGGACTAATAGTAATAATAAAGAAAAACAGAGGAAATTCAAACTGAAGCATTGGTCAAACAATTTTTTAAGCATGCAAGAATTAACCCTTTTTCTAATTCAACAGTCCTAGGGATAACAGCATATCAAAGATTGGATCAGGTGCCATGGAAGAGAGAGCATCCCCTCCTGACACTTCACACCCAATATATGTGCTCCTTGTCATGATTGGAAAATTCGGGAAAAATCTGTCAACAATTCAATGTGTAACTAATGGCCAAACAAATTAGTATGAAAAATGTCAGCTTTTGACTTTATGATAAATTATAACTACATGGTCATTGTATTGACCATAAAACTTATGAAATGATAACTTTAAATAAAACTAAACTGTTTAACCAGAATCTTATCTGTACTGCAATTAGGCTACATGCTTTTAGCTAAATAAAAACTTTTAGTGGATGTTGTATATAGATCTCTGCTGTATTGTCGAGTTCCAAAACATCAACATTTTTATTTATTGGGATAATGGCATGCAATACTTTCAGTACTATGATTCCAAGTTGTTTTTAGGTCATCTAAAAATAAATGTAAGGTGAAGGTCATATGTGTCCGCCATATTTGCATAACTCAATCTTCCATATTGTCAAAATGTTGAAATGACAGAAAAAATCTATAACATTCTTTGGATACATTGTAAAACAAATGCAGAGATACTATAGAATAGCTCATACATAATATGAACAAATTTTCCACAATATCAATGAATACAAGAAAGATAAATCCAAGACATTCCACAATGTTTTTCGTGTCACCAAAGTGCAAGCGCCATATTGCAAATCATTTGTTATGGTTGGTTGAAACTTACAATTCTGTTTTGTCTCAAATAACAATGATAAAACACGAATGTTAACAGGGGAGAAATTGTCAGATATTATACATTTTACTTCATAAAAACAAATTTTCAGATTTTACAGACTTTCTCGCAGGAACGAGATTTTCTAAATCAGCGAATGAAATTGCCTGTTACAAATTTCTTTCGGGGGAATAATTATATTGACCAATCACAAGAAGGCTTTTTTACCCGCGTAGAATCAAAGCCTTGCGACCTCCAAAGGTGAGTACCCTTAAAAGATCCCTTATATCCCCTAAAGTATTAGTGCCTTAGTTAAAAAGATGTGATTTTCTGAAAGAAGAAGGAAAAAACTAAATGGGGCCACGAAGAAAAAGTATATCAGCTTAAATTAAAGTGTCAAATTGCTTAATGAAAGTTGGCCATACTGTGGATTTTTCACCACGCTTGTTTAGAGATTCCAGGCTTGGATTAGTCTTTGTTGTTGAAGATCAGCATAAAAACGCTTATGCCTTTCCATTAGCTTTTCCACAATTTTACATAGGGTAGAATAAGTACGTATGTTTATCATTGACCGTTTTATCTTCATTATGTGTTGCATAGTTTTACTGTAT